AGTGGAAAGGGGAGAGAGGAGAAGGAGAGAGGTAAGGGAAGAAGAGAGGGATAGGAGAGAAGGAGAGGAGGAGAGAAAGGAGGAGTGGAAAGGGGAGAGAGGAGAAGGAGAGAGGTAAGGGAAGAAGAGAGGGATAGGAGAGAAGGAGAGGAGGAGAGAAAGGAGGAGTGGAAAGGGGAGAGAGGAGAAGGAGAGAGGAAGGGGAAGTAGAGAAAGGAAGGATGACAGAGGGAAGAAAGGAGGTAGGAAGGGGGAGGAGAGAGGGAGAAAAAAGTGATGGATAAGGTACAAATATAGTGTATGGAGAGCAGAAGAGTCAATAATTGTTTTTGGGAGTTGGTAAGATGAATTGATGTAAACATTTAATAATACAATTTGATGTTGGCTATGTAATAATATGCATGTGATTATATGATATGAAAATGAAAAAATAAAAAACTTTATAAAAAAGATATGGTCATCACTGCTAAATACAAACATTACCTTGAGGAATGGACAGTATGACTGATGGTAACCACATAGCCCGCTCCACCAACATCTAAATATGGCCCCGTTAAAGTAATTAATCCTGGATTGGCCACTGCATGGAGGTACCTATCAGAAAACGAAATCATCACTTCTGATGTAACAGAATAATTTCACGACAAAAAGAACCTTGTAATATGCAAACCCGACAAATATGGAAAAATACATTAAATCATAGAAACACAGGCAATGTTTAAAATCAGTCAAAGTCATCTATCAAATCTATATCCCATATTTCATGTTTTTTTAAAGGCCAAATATTTTTAGGATTAGAATGTGTCAACAATATTAGGATGAATCCATAATTAAGACGACAGACATAAATTGGTGAGGCTCATTTCGGAGAACTGAATGTCCTAATGTACTGAAAATATGGATTTCATTTTTCCTATTTTGAGAATCATCTCTGGAAGTATCAAAGATATCAATTTCTTGCTAGTGTTGAGGCAACCCTTCTGTTCCTACCCTTCTGAATTTTTCTAATTTTAACAGAGTGTTTGTAGCTAGCTTCTTATAATTATGAATAAATATCTGAACTCTAAGGAAAAGAGTGGTAAAGAAATGGTTTTTTCCCCCAATTCTCCTACAATTTGCTATTCTAGAGGATTAAAAACAAGGAAGAGATAGATTGACAGGATTGGCAGAAAGGACTGACAGCATGAGAAGCTAGGGACAGGCATTCTGAATGCAGTTAAATTCATTGGCTTCTGCTTTGATTAGCAAAATGGCTTAGTTCTCAGAGAGCATGTGGAGTGGGATACATTTAGGAATTTCCTCATGGTTATTATCTCATTTACAGCGTATACAAAACATTTTCTTAAGCCACGTTTGTGCATAATTAAAATGGGATTACAACATAGGAAATCTACGGAAAAGAAGAACAACTCCTCAAAAATAGTGAGAAGCAATAATGCCATGGGGATCTGAAATTCATAAAGAGAACCCCAGAAGATAAGCGCTAATGCATTTTGTGAATAACAGATTTTAGTAGCCGTGTTTATTTGCTGTTCCACTGAAGGGCAAAGAAAAAGATTTTGCCTGCTAAAACACAAACAGCTGACCAAAATTTAATGCATTAACAGAAACTATATTATTACACTTGAAGATATTTCATCCGCCAGGGATTCCCCCCCCTCCCATAAATCCATCATGGAATATTCACTCTCATTCAATATTATTAGCCTGAATGGGGTTCTTAAACCTCTTATAATGGGATCCTAAAACTCACCATTGTCTCCTAGTGGGATCAAATGCTTTGTCCATGAGGGAACCAGGATAAATTCTGAGCACCCCATTGGGCGTTGCTATGTAACGGCGGACAATGTAACTGTTCAAGCCACTCATTTCCATTTGTGTCATCCATTCATCTGTGACGTGACTGGTAGCCATTACTTCATTTCTGACAGAGAACTGCAAAACAAAGACAGAGCTAGCAGGATTCCTTTAAAACTTGACTGAAAAGATAATAAGCTGCTTGCAGAGTTTCTTACAGATTCATCGGAGATAATCTAAACCCAATTACTACTTTAAAATCTTCTCTCACCAGATGGATCTAGCATTTTTTTTAAAGTAAATCCTAACCCTAATGAAATACTGTTGGCACAATATTTAATGTTTTACTTTGAATCTAAATCCTTGTTGTATTTTTACTTTTCTACACTATCAAAATGAAGAGCATTGATTTTTTGTTGTGTTTGTAACATTGACCTGATTTTCATATTGTTCACACTGCTAACCAACAAAACTTTTTTTTTCTGCTACCAAAAACTAATGTCTGTTTTACTTAGATAAACAATTTGGGGACATGATCTTAAATCATTATTTTGGAAATCCATTTTGGAATACAGCTGGCTTAGATTCTTTTTTCAAACGATCTTCGTGAATATTGTTCTTTCTACTTCAAGCAAGAAATATTCTAACTTTAAATGTGCTACATTTTTCATGTTGCCAAGAACGAAGTTTACCTGAGGACAAAAAATAATTTAAAAAAAACACAGAACAAAGATTTAAAAAATGGTGCAACCCAAAGAACCATAAAAAGCAGTTATCTGATCAAACAAAATTCCAAAAACCTAGCCAAATATTCATCAGAGGTCTTCAAAACCCAGCTGCTCCTTTCAGATCTCACTTCAAAGAGTTTCAACAAATCAAAACAATATCCCCAAGGACAGAAGCGTCATAAAAAGTATGGAAGGTAAAATAGGCACAAAAATCATACTTTCAGCCCAGGGTTGGCAATGAGGCGGGTGTTGTCACTCAGATATGCTGTATAGTGTTCCACCATCCTCTTGGTCTCAGGTTGGCTTAGATGTTCATATGGAGATGAAAAACCACCTGCAGACAACATCACTGTAGGGCTTTCTGAAAAGGCAGCACAGATAAATGGTTTAAGTCACAAAATGTCCCCTAGTCTCCAGCTGTAGAAAATCCATTACCTAGCTGGACCAACCCACCTAAAACTGTAGTGTAAGAGCATGTGTAATTTAAGGAGGAGGGACCCTCAAATGAAGTACTATTGTGCTTGTCACCACCAGGGCGCACTGTTGTAATGAAACTGTACTACTTAATAACATTCTCTTAATTCCCTACCATTTCTATATAAGAAGAAGATTGAAACAGAAGAAACACCTATCATACTTCAGGATATTATAGGAAATGGAGTAGTTTGGGTGGATGAGTGGAAATGGTAGACAGCTACCTAGGCTGTAATAATGTGAAGTCCCTTCAATTCAATTTAAACTCCTGCTGACCTAGTGAACATGTCCATTCAATTTTCTTGGTGAAAATGTGAAGGTGATTTGCCTTTGACTTCTTCTGGAATATTAGTTTCAATCTCCAAGAGGTATCCCACTCAAATAATTATTCGCCATGCTTAGCACACAATGAAAATGTGTTTAAAGAAACATTCAATCATATACTAACACTTGCTGAGATGGTATTAATATACATAGATCACGTTATTTTAGGTCCCTTCTACAATCAGTCCACCTAATAGTAAATAATGACAAAGTATCCAGTCATGGAAAAAACGCTGTCAAAAGAAAACTGGATAGTCAGGAATAAGCCTGGATCTACAATGTAGAATGTTATTTCTGGTATATTGAAGATGCCTGCAAGTCCCTTAACCACTAATGCAGACAAAAGTCAGTGCTGATCAGCTAAGAACAACAGAAACAGTAATCTGGAGGCACTAGGATTTTTTGGTATATGCATCAACTTTCACCAATCTAGTGATATCCAGATTCTGCTCTCATAATTCTCAGTCAGCATCTGGAAGTCACCAAGTAGGAAAGTATTGGTATACACACTGTACAGGTAGTCCTTGACTTACAACAATTCGTTTAGTGACTGTTCAGAGTTACAACGGCAGTGAAAAATGTGACAGGACCATTTTTCAAAGTTACGATCTTTTCAGCATCCCCCATGATCATGTGATCAAAATTCAGATGTTTGGCAACTGGTTCATATTTATCATCTTTGCTTTTTGCGACCTTCTGACAAGCAAAGTCATTGGGGAAGCCAGATTCACTTAATAATCGGGTTACTAACTTATCAACTGCAGTGATTCACTTAACAAATGGATCAAGAAAGATCTTGGGGCAAAATGGGGCAAAACTCACTTAAAAACTGTCTTAGCAATAGCAATAGCAATAGCAATAGCAATAGCAGTTAGACTTATATACCGCTTCATAGGGCTTTCAGCCCTCTCTAAACTCGGTTTACAGAGTTAGCATATCGCCCCCACAGTCTGGGTCCTCATTTCACCCACCTCGGAAGGATGGAAGGCTGAGTTAACCTTGAGCCTGTGAGATTAGAACCACTGAACTGCAGATAACAGTCAGCTGAAGTGGCCTGCAGTAGTACTGCACCCTAACCACTGCGCCACCTCGGTCTTGTTTAGGAGCAGAAATTGTGGTAGTAAGTCGAGGACTATATTTAATATAACATGTTGTATGGGAAAAATAAGCTGAAAATCTTTTTTCCTCACCTTCATATTGTTTATTAATTTTCCTTAGTTCTTTAAATGGATAGCAATAATAATTACTATACAATAACCCTTTTTTTTGTAAATAGTTTTCAAACAATGCACATTTTAGGGGATAATAGGAAAGAGATTGATAATGTCTTTACTGAGGAAAACAATTGTGGAACTATATGATGAAAAATCTTTTGTTTCAAAAACAACTTATTATTTCTCTAACTTTAAATTTCCTGTTACAGCATGACCTGGAGCAAGCTTCTAAAGTGAATGTGCCTGGTTTCACTGTATAAATTTATTCTGATTTCTTAAAAAAAAAAAAAAGACAATGCTTCACTAAATTCAAAAGTTTTGAACAGTTTTTAATATCTCTGAACTTGCCAATTAAAAATATTTCAAAGTCTATTCTCTCCAGAGTTCTAGCTTCTTTTTACAAAGATTGACAGTATTAAATATTTATAGCTTGGAATAAAATCTGCATAATTCCAAAATTACTAGGATACACCATGACTGGCATGAACTTCAATGTTTTCATGTTATTGCTAATGATTTATTTGACAGCCAGGAGAATCAAGCTCAGCTTTGAAATAGTGTAACGACACTACTCATACTTAACACATTCTGTTTTCTAGAAGGTAAGTTATGCAACTGTCTATTTCCAAGATATATTTATTTCAAAGTTTTTAAAAGCAAAGAAACAGACAATCCCAAGACACTTCATTTCACTTGTACATTTAACTAATTTGCAGCCAGGTCCATTTGGCCAACAGTTGCTAGAATTCACTGAAATAGTGTGACTGAAAGGAAGACAAACTTTATATTGAATTAGACCCTTTGACCTTCTGGCTTAGTGTTGTTGATACTGGCTGCCAGCAGTTCCCTAATGTTTCAAGCTTTTTCTAATCCTCTCTGAAGATGCCAAGGACTGAACCTAAGGTCTTCTACATACAAAAGAATGATCTGATTCTCCCTGTTACTCAATTATCCATTAAGAACATTTAATTATATGCCAGAGTAAGGCAATCCTCCTGAAAACAAAGGCATGAAGTCTATTACTCAAATAGTGGGATTAGAAGGAAAAGATGTATCAAGGTAAAATGTGCATGACTAAAGTCTTATCTGTTTATTTTTATTTCTTGCTGATGGGGAAAAAAATCACTTTTCTATAGGCTTTCATTTTGACATCTCCCAGAACCTAATTCTCTGGCTCCTAAACTCTGTAATCTTTGAGCCAGCTAGGAAGCTTAGCAATGCAGTTTCTGCATTTGTCTGAATAACATTATGGAACCTCTCCCAACCAAATTGAATTACATTTTTGACAATTTCTCTTATTATGCTCTCCATAAATTTTCTACTGGGTTCCCACAGTTAGTAACAATTCTATCCTAATGCATAAACTAATAGTTCCAATGTGTGATCCCAAAAAGTTGTTGAATTATAACTCCCCAAACCAGTGAATATCAGAAATGACAGGGGCTACTACCTACTGATATCTGGAGACAGAAATTCAAGGTGGTTATTGGCTTAGTATTAGCTGGAAATTTCCTCAAAACTATGTAACACAAGTTCATAGCATTGATGGTTTCCTATTCCTTGTATTAACTAGGATACTTGGATGGATACTTTCTTTAATATGTTTTAATAAGCTTTTAGAGGTCTACAGGATTAGTGTTGGAGGGGAATCCCAGGATTAATGTCCAAGCTTTGATTAAAAGGCAAGAAGATGCTTATTATATTGCACAAGTACCAAAGAGACATAGGGAATAATTGGTTTCTACAGTTAGAAGAGAGGCCAAAATGATAGTTTTTGGGTTAAGATCAAGGGTAGTATTGAATGTAGATAACATGACCTCAATTCAGGAAAGTCTAGCATTATGATGATGCTATATTTCATTTCGTTAGGCCTCTTTATAATGTAGTTCATACTTTAAAAAACTATCTGGAAGTAACCTACAAGACAGTTTGATCCTAGAATAATCGTTATCCCGAAATGATTGAAATCTTACCTGAAAGAATTTCAAAAATGGATAAACAGGGATTCTGATAATTTATCAGAGCTAGTTGAACTTTCATAAGAAAGGGTGGGACAGATTTTAGAAAAAGAAATACTTTACCTAAGGTTGCCAGTTGTTTGAAATGCAGACAAGCATTGGGCTGGCCCAAGAGATCCAGACGATGATAAAGGAGTTTACTACTGGGTACAGTGTTGAGGTTTTTAAGTTGTCTAACAGGTATTTCTGGTTGTATTACAACTATACACAAAATGAAAGATGTGTCTTGAACCTAGAATATAAGTAAGCATGATTTAATAAGGAATGCATTTTCAAATTAAGAAGCAAAACTGAAAGCTTTATAAATGTTTTAATGTACAATATGTAAACATTTCTGGTCTACATTTTCAAAGATCGGCACTTTCTTTAAACATTCCTTTCTTTTGGGCTCTTTGAGATTTGTGATTTTCCAACTTATTTATAACGAGTAAGTTATCTAATATTCTCATCAATTCTCCAAATTAATTCATCCTATTAGATTTATAAAGGATTTCCATACATGTTGACTATTAAATCATGACCAACATAGACTTAACATTCTTTTATCTGAGAATCAATTTAAATATTCAAAATTAACATGATCAATCCTTGCAGCAACCGTTCTTCATAGGAATGCATCCTATTAATTGCTGAAGATTGAGTGACACAGCAGTCATAAACAGGAATTAAGTTGAATTTTTTTTAGATTTATGTGGCATAGGTCTTAAGCATTTACCAAGATACAACACTCAGCCACAGCAAACACTAGACTTAAATCTTGATTCTGACTGGCCTGGAGGCATGTAATAAGACTCCTATTGCTTGGAAATCTAAGAAAAAGAATGCCTGTTTTGCTGCAATTAAAAAATGCCTTCAGCTTCAATATATTATCATATCTTCAAGCGTCACTTACCATTTTCCAGGCATAACTCACATTGTAGGCATCTTTCCCAATTTCACGCAATTTGTTGACATGCCAAGACAGTGACGAATTCACAGGGACTGTAATAAGTTGACTGCCGAGGGGGAGGCTAAGTTGGCAACAAATAACATCCATCAACTACTCAAAATGGGAAACTAACTCAGTACTGTTTTTTTTTTACTTTAAAGTGAGATCACTCAAGGAAGGGCTGCATGAAATTTATTTTTAATTAAAATAGAAATAGACTGCTTTGCTACATTCTATTTACTCTTCATACTCAAAGCCAAAATGCTGGTTCTGATCACATGAATTGGCTGCAGATGAAAAATTTCAGTGTCAATATACAGGGAATGAAACCACCAAAGGCATTGGTTGGAGAAGAAATGGTAAACAGTTGGTTGCTTAGTTATACACATCGCCAAATGATAAAACTGCCCCATATCTTGTAGATAACTAACTCTTTCAAGGGGTAGAGGCAGATGTAAGGTCTCCTGCTTTGGCAGGGGGTTGGACTAGATGACCTGCAAGGTCCTTTCCAACTCTGCTAATGTGTGTGTGAAAGGAAGACTCAAGAATCAAAAAGAGCCTCACTTCATGTATTTCCACTAGCCAAGCTCCATTCACATTAAAGGAACTGGAGAGTCAGGAAAGTAGAGCCACAAAATTTAGAGCCAGCAATTGGGGCTGGCAGAGGAAACTATCCATTTTGCAAGACTCCACCATCTCTCTGCTGGATGCAGGGAGGCAATGGAATCCTCCCCCTCTCTTCCACCAATCGTAATGCTTGTTCGCATGTGTTACTTAACATGCAAGGGAGGAGCGTAGTGTCCTCACTACACTCAAAAGAATATTGAAGTTTATTGTTCTTGCCTTCTCCAGGCTTCAAGTGCCAGAAAAGACATTTGCAGCCACAATAAGCAATACACAACTGAGACGGATGGTGTCCTGATGTCTTTTTTTAGCAGAGATGGAGGGAAAAGCAGGAGTCTTATTAAGAAATAACAGACAATCAACATTTGCAAGACTCCATAATATAGCCCGGGACTATGCAATTGAAATATCTTGACACCCTTGCTCTTAGCTTTTATAATCAATCTTTTCCATGGTAGCTCTATTCTGTGTGTCTGAAGCAGAAGATAAAGCCAACCATGCAAGATGTTATACAGCAGCAACAACAGAAATGATGACTTTCTTATCACATAAGGCATTAAGAATCCCAATCTAGCATTTCTAGAGCAGAGGTATCAAACTTGCGGTGTCATGGCAGTGTCACATGATGTATCTGGACTTTTTCCCCCTTTGCTAAAACGGGCATGGCCAGTGTGTGAAGCATCTGGCCCATGGGCCGGGAGTTTGACCGCTCTGGATTGAGAGGAAGTGTCTAGCCCAAGCTGGTTCTTGTGCCTAAAGCGGGACTAGAACTCACAGTCTTGTGGTTTCTAGTCTGATAGCTTCACCACTAAGGCTCTTAAGTATACACTAAGTTTATATAAAGCATCAATTCAAAATCTTACCTGAGGATATTCTGTCGGACCAGTTCAAATTTTGGAATATTCTCATAATGTATTATATCTGTGTGAAGCGGTGGTTCAGAAAGCAAATAGGGTCTGGTAAGAGAGGGGTGCATAAGCGTATACCCTAAAAATAAAAATAAAATAAAAACATGCGGTTTTGCATAGACATTACATTGAAGTGATATTGGAAGGATGGTAAATATCAAATTAAATAGTTACTCCGACAATGAAATTGTATTCTCTTCCCATACAATAATGAATTATTACCTTTATCATCAATCAGAAATGTGTAAGAAGCCAAAGAATCTTGGTAATAGGTTACATCTTCCAAAATATAAGCTAGATTAACATCCACTCCAACAATTCCTAACAACAGATTTCCAAAGTAACATGGTTTGCTGACAGTCATGATCAAACCTGTTTAAAAATATGCAAACATAAATAATTAGCCATAGGAAATCTGGAATATCTCAGAACAATCAGCTCATGATTCAACTGGAGTTTCAAAATAACTGTATATAGGCTTTTAGCTGTAATGGCTAAGGAAATCTACCAATGCTTTTCATTAACATTTATTAACAATCCACCAAGGTAGCACTGTTTGTCATTCTTGTTTGGGACCTGCAATGAGGGATGCCCAACTTTCAACAGCAAACCTTTTGGCTGCTTCAAGGACAGACAGGACCGAATATGTATTTATAGTTATCACATCATATTTCAGTAAAAGAACGCTTAGTATAACTAAGTTGCAAGTATAATTTTTTTCTTTATTTGTTGCAGCCAGGAAATCAGCAAAATCTCACATTATAGGCTCTGTTTTGACATTCTGTCATTATGTGTTGGACTGAATATGTGAACTTGGCCATTAGTAGTAGCCCTTAAAAACGTATGTGTAAGCTTACAACCTTAAATACTGTAACTTTTTTCTAAAATAATTTCTTAAATCCTCTTACTTATCAATTAAATTGTAATTTTCATGCCAATTGGGATGGTGGGCCATGTCATGGGCCAATCTGATTCAATCTGTTCTGTCATCACATAATTACAAGTATCAACAGCATTAAAAGTTTACATCTCTAAGCAAAATGGAATGAAAGGAATTAAACAGCATTTTCAAACAATTAAAATTGTTGGACATAATTAATTTTAAAGTAAGTTGAGAAAAATCATGGTCAATGATTCCAGTGGAAGTTGAAAACAGCCAAGAATTAGTATTATTTTGGGGGGAGCGGGGCAAATACTGCATAAGGATTTGTATTGCAAATGAATGTTTATATTCTCTGGGCATTCCTATAACATAATGGATATTCCCCTGTTCCCCTCCAAAGCAACAGTGAAACTGATACTTTACTTCCCAAATGACAGCAACAATTCTGAATAATATAAGGGTATCAGAAGAAAGGAAATTATAATAAATAATTATATGTAAATATCTACACCTCCCCTTCATCTCAAGTAGATCAAGATAGCATGCAGAGAGGTCTCAGACTAATCCAGGCACTCCCTGAACACATTTAAACCTTTTTAGCTTTAATAAAATCATTGCATCACATTTCCAGTTTTGGAAAACAAGCTGGTTCATTACATTCTTTTTGACAAAGTAAAATCCAATTTAGCAACTGATATGGAACTCTAAAATACAAGCGTATAAAAATTTTGGAAGTTCTTAACGGTTTGACCTACCTTCTCAACTAATATTGCCATGGTCCAGAAGGGTTCCACCACAAATGCGCGCACAACAAAAACGCGCCTGACTAAACCGCGGTGTCTAAAGCGCGGTG